CGTGATTATGATGGTTAGCAAATAAGTCTATTGTGTGATTAGGATTTCGATTTTTATATTCACGACTTAATTGGAAAAGAAAAAGTCAATTTCTTCAATACCCCGTTTCATAAGTTAGTTGAAATCATGTCATTTTTTTATGAATATATTTAAAATATATAGGCATAACTTATATAATAAGTTTATAATTAAAAAATATATTCACATATATAAATTTAGTTTGAACTGGGTTAGATCAATTTTCAAAATCAAATACGAAGCTCGATCCAATCTGATAAAGATGTTGTAGTTTTTATTTATTTATTTATTTATTTATTGAATTTCAGTGTATTTGTTTTCAATTATTTGGATTCTTTTATTGATTGGTAATTGCATTAGTTAATTTACTTAGAGTGCTTTAGGTAATTTAAATGCTAATTGCATTAGTTAATATATAGACACACATCTTCTTCAATCCCTATCAATACAGGTATGTAGAAAGAAGTGTTCATGGTTTGACGGAGGCAGAGTAAATGCATTCTGGTTGGTACCTATCCATTTTGGATGATGGATCACGGACCCATCTTCAATTGCGCTTCCACTCTTTCAACACTTTATATCATTCATTGTCAGTAGTTATTTTATTGTTTTTGGTATATTTTTTTTGGAAATATCTTTATATGTTTCGTAATAATAATTATAAAAAATTCAAAAAGAAAGATAGTGGGGGTAAATCGGTAATTCACACAACAATCACTATAAATCACCCACTTCTCGTGTCATTCCCCACTGAATATTACAGATAATCCACATTAAATACACATAATCTTCATAAATCAACCTAAATCAATCCTCTTAAATGTAATGAAATACCTATACCAAACAAACTGTTCCATGTTATGTTTTTTGCCTTTTGGAAACCCTCTTTATACTTAAAATATCAAGCGCTTACTTTTCTTCTATGTTTTGCACCATTAATTTTTAAGATTCCATTTAACACTGTATTTCTAAACTAAAATGTAAACTAAATTAAATACTTTTACACTAACTAATTATAGTTATTAAGTTTATCTAGAATCTTTTTTATACAATAAAAGAAATACTTTTTTTTTATCAAATTATATTCAATATATATATATTCAGGATGATATTCAACTTTAAAAATAACAAATTATAGGAATGGAAAACTTGGATAAATATTGATGTTTCTATGTTGGTTTGTATCGGTTTAAGTATATATTCTTAAATGAGCCAAATTTTTTGTCAAACCAGCCAGTAACATTTTACAAATACACTTTGATATATATATTTATATCCAAAAAAGTTGAAGATACAGGAATTAAGCTATTTATTGCTTGATTCACCGAAAATTGATATTGGGTGAACAACTAACTAATCTTGAGTAGTTCCAAACCAATAACAAAAAGTATCAAAGTTGACAAATAACCAATCTCTGACATCGTTTATGTTTGACAAAGGACGTGCAACAAAATAATTCTGTTAGCACATTAAACATGAAAGGTTATAACAGTCCTTGATTATTTTTATTTTATCTCATTAAGTAGTCTCAAATTCAAATTCGAGCTATGCAAGTATATTAAATGAAAGAACTTCATTGTTTAGTGCAATCCTACCTAATTCAGATAAAAATATCTCCATTAGATAATATGAAAAGAAAACAACTCCAAACTCCAAGAGTCTATTAAGAAACTCAAATTTGCAGGTTTACCCTTGATCAAATGAAAATTATAGATTCTCTATTCAGGGTACGTTTGTCTGTGTTTATTTAAAGATTTTTTTAGTTCTTTAAAGTGTTTTTTTTATAATGATTATTAGAAGTATAATCTCAATATTTCTGATATAAAATAATCTTCTAAAATACTGTTGAAAAGCCTGTTCTGTGACGCAAGACGCAACTCAGTTCAACATCCATATCCAGTGGTTGCTTTATGTTTCAAAGATGTTCGAATATTGAAGGAATCCCACAGTTTACAACGCACTACGGTCATAATGTATCAACTGCAAGAACAATAACATGAGTGACTTAGCAAAATGCAGGTTTTTACCGTAAATCTTTTCGGACGAAGGTCCACAACTCTTCTTGTAATGGTTTTGTAGGTCCCAAATACAGGTTTTCCCTCAAATTTGGGTTGCTTGAATCTTTTAAAACATTGCGGCTATGAAACATGCCTAAACACCATGCTTACACAATTCAATAAAACTTTTAAATAAGACAATTAGTTACCCATACATTATTTCAGTTCTACATAAAGTTCTCTACCAACAAGGCAAATGAAAAAAATGTACTCAGGATGAGCAATCGTGAAGCTAAGGAATCGATTGCAAACAAGTAAAGTAAATAAATTGGCGAACAATGCTAATATGACATTTGAGGAATAAAAGAGCAAGTTGAAGAATGGTATAAAAAAATGCCCCTAAAAGTAACAATCCGATATTAGTATTTGTCGTACCAACAGCTCGAGAAGCCTAAAATGTGTAAACAAAATACACTTGATAACAT